GAAATGCAAATGGCCAACAGACATATGAAAAAATGTTCAACATCACTTGTAATCAGGGAAATGCAAATCAAAACTACCATGAGATACCATCTCACACCAGTGAGAATGGCACATATTAAAAAAACTAGCAACAACAAATGTTGGCGAGGGTGTGGAGAAAAAGGAACTCTTCTGCACTGTTGGTGGGAGTGCAAACTGGTCCAACCACTATGGAGAGCTGTGTGGAGATTTCTGGACCTACTAAACATAGAGCTTCCATATGATCCAGCAATTCCACTCCTAGGTATTTACCCAAAGGACACAGAAACATCAATTCCAAAGAGCACCTGCACCCTTATGTTTATAGCAGCACTGTTTACAATAGCTAAGCTTTGGAAACAACCCAAATGCCCAAAAATAGATGACTGGATCAAGAAGATGTGGTACATATACACCATGGAATATTACTCAGCATTCAAAAAAGATAAACACATGCAATTTGCAGCAACATGGATGGCGCTGGAAGGGATCATGCTCAGCGAAATAAGCCAAAAAGAAAAAGAAAAATACCGGATGGTCTCACTCATAGCAGGAATCTAGAAAACTTAAATAAGGGACCAGGAAAATGAATATAAGAAAGTGAAAATCAAAATCAACAAAAAACTATGAACCAGAGACACTTTTTGCGGGGTGGGGGGCGGGAGGGAAAGGATTGGGGTCAGAATGGGGCGTTTGCAGTTGTATGGGGGAATATAAAAATAAAATTTATTATTTAAAAAAAATAAAAATCTTGATAAATAAATGAATACATAGCAAAAAAAAAAAAATCTCAGTTTCTTAGATTAAGCCTCTTACTCTTCCCCCTGCTTGCATAGTCACCTCAGTTATCCTGGGTTTTTGACTGTTTGCAAATGTCACGCATGCTCTCTCTGGTTCTTTGCACTCAGAGACCCCTTCCAGATACGTTCTTCTCACACTAAGATAGCCATGTGGCTTGCTTCCTTCAGGTCTTTCCTCAAATGTTATCATCTTATTAAGGGCTTCTATGAACACTCAAAAATTATGGGTTACCTTCACCATGTCCTGGGTGCTCTATTCTCCCATGCTTTTGTTTTTTTTTTTTTTTTTGCCTTAGCACACATTATCTGCCATACTTTAGATTCTACTTATATCTTAGATTGTTTTGCCACACAATGTAAATTCCATGAGGGCAGGACCAAGGGGAAAGTGTACTCAATATTTGTTGAATGAATGAACAGAAAAGGGTGAGGAAGCTTTCTTATGTGTTAGAACTTCTCCCCTTACCACTTCCTGAATCTGAGCTTTCATTTCCTTATCTTTGTCAGATTTAATAATGACACAAGTCAAAACAAAAAACAAAAAACCAAAATGGGGAAAAAATCAAGGAGAGATGAAGTGTGGAAGGAGGAAAGCAGGAAATAGAGCCAACAGGAGAGATAAAGGAGACAGAAAAGGCCATTGTATTGGGAGAGTTTGATACGAAAGAGAAAATGATGAGACAGAGGGAAGAACTAAGAGGAAAATGCTGGGATATTCTTTTTGAACACTTTCTCTTGAACCATAAAGATGGCTAAATCCCCCTTGGGGACTGTAGTGCCCTGTCAGAGTCCTTCCCCAGTTATACACCACCTGGGTCGATGCTGTGACTCAGTGCTGGGGAAGCCATGATGGCTCAGTTAGGACGATCTCTGATCGAAGGAACTAAAAGCACACTCATAAGGCTCTTCTACCTTCTAGTTAATCTGCATTGTTTTTCCAGGGCAAAGTCCAGAATTAGTGGTGTCAAGAGTCAAAACCACAATAGAGATCACAAGGGACAGGGTCTCTCTGTAATTCTGGGGAAGCTACAGGCTAGCGTGATCCTCTGTTCACCAAGATTTATCCTACTGGAGACTAGTTAAAGTGTATATAAACAGGGACAGACAACTTATCTCTACCACAAGCAGAAGAATCAACATAAACAGAATCACTCCAGATCACTCATTTCGTAATGACATAAAGGGTGTGATATTTTTCACTGGCCAGGAAGGTGAGAGAAGCAAAAAATCTACAGGAGCCCTGCAACTTCTTATTAAATAAGTTTTCTGACACATGGCAACTGGTGATTAATTACTGTGTTGGAAGATAACATTCCTATAGAGATTTGCTGGAAATACAGATGCTGCCCATGCTTGATTAGACATTGCTTAAGGAATGCTGAGGCACACTGCTGCAGTCTATTATTTCTGGCTATTTTGGTATCTGTTATATTTATTTTACATAGCTTCAGATTCTGTAGAATGGATGGAGCCCATTTCACAAAACCTGTCCCTACCCAACAAAGAAAAACTAAGGTTATAAAGCATGTCTCTCTCTCTCTGTGTGTGTGTGTGTGTCTGTATGCATGTATATATATATATATATATATATATATATATATAAAAAGATGGCCATATGCATGTATGGGAATAAGAGAAAATAAGGGAGAAAGACACTACTAATAGTAGGGATATATTATTCCTTTTGGTAACACTTACTGCTCTACAAAGCACTACTAGGGAGATGGCCTGTTTCTTCTAAGAAGCCTATGAGGAAACTAACTCAAGTCAGATGGTTAAAAGTTTCAGGGCACTAGAAGAGAAACTTTTTTTTTAAGATTTATTTATTTATTTATACAAGCACTGGGTAAAGTCAGAAGCACGGGAGGGTGAGCGAATTCACCAGAGCCAGAGTGGGGAACAGAACAGGCAGACTGACGAAACACACTGCTGAGGGGAGCAGCTTCGCAGCCCAGTGCTCAACCGCTGCGCCACCAGTGGAGGTCCTAGAGAGAAACTTAACTTTGTCATTATCCAAACCTCTCATCAACACCAAAGCAGCCTTGATTTGATACTTATTCATTCATGCAATATGCATAAGGGGCATTTACTTGGCCAAGAGTATGGGGGAAACAAACAGAAAACGCGTGGGCCTCTGGTTACTACTGATCCAGTAGGATGTATTCTGAGCCAGGGTTGGGAGAACAGAGCCAGCCAAAGCCCTTTGCATGCGGGGCTATTTCCTCCTTTCATAACCATTTGATATGAAGAAAGTGACAAACAACAATAGCGATGCCTCTCTGAAGTGGTCACATTTCAGCTTACGCCCACTTTCTTGGACATCATTCACAGATCCAAATGTGAAAGGCATGAGCTGGCTGCCATTTAATTATTTCCTGAAGAAATGAGACGCTCTGTCGACACACAGCCCACTGATGCCAACTTCAAGACTGCCCAGTCAGCAGTCATTATTCAGATGCCAGTATTTTCAGTTAAGTGTTCAGGCCCCATGCTGTCTGCCAAAAAACTGTGTTAATTTACTTATTTCAGCTAAAAATATCATTTAAAAAGAGGATGATTGAATTTAGGAATTATCGTCCTCAGAGAATTAGTAATGCTTCTCTGTATCCCTCAGGCCTCCATGTTCTTAACTTCCCCTTGTCAATGTTATTAGGAATAGACTAATTCGATAATGAGATCATTCCCCATAAGAGCGACCAAATAAATGCAGCATTCAGTCACACCTGGTTTCCGTAATCTGAGCAAGGATGGCTTTCAACCAAATGTAGCCTAAAATATGGAATTTAATGAACACATATACACACAGAGGGGGGGAAAGAGGGAAGGAAGAGGAAGGAAAAGCAGAGGAACAGGGGAGCAGTGGAACAAATGGGCTGATAGGCTGGAGAAAGCTTAAAAATGAAGATAGATGGTCAGACAATTTCAAAACAAAGGCCCTCATAGATATGTCTTACTAATTGTCAAAGTAATAAAATATTTCATCATCCTTTTAAATATCTCAAGAATTGCTCCACATTTTCTTGAACTGCTCCAGGATTCAAATAATCAAACAAAAAGACACAGGCATATTAAGTGTTAGGCAGGAACATTCTAGATTAAAACCAATAGATTTCCTAGGAGTGTACGGAATAATTCACCAAGGCCCACACAGCAATAGAGCTTTGGGATACAGGACCATCATCTATCCTCTTCCAAACTGCTTTGCTTTCATCAAGGCACCAAGGTTGGATGATTTAATTGGGGGAGAGAAAGTGTTGAGAAAGCATGAAGAAAGCATAAAATTAACTCTCCAATTTGAAAAATCACATTACAAGGAAATGTTCAAAGTTGGGGAAAAAGTTGAGCAGCAAACCTAGAAAAGAGCAAGGAGCAATATTATTTAAAAGAAGAATCTTTAATTACATGAAGGAAGAGCATGGGCAGGACTGAAGTCAATTCCACCCTCTCCCTGCCCCAGCATCTCAGTAGAAGCAAGAGGAGGAGGTAGAGTTCAGTTGGGAGAGATGAGAGGTGAGGCAAGAGGTTCATGTGTAAACACACTCAATACATGCTCTTTATAGGGGAAGAAATGAAAACATCCAAATGTCTAAAAAATGATCGAATGATTAAATAATTACGCTTCATTTGTACCACGGAATATTTGCTCAGACATTAAGAGTGATATAGTCAAGGAATATTAATGGATATGGGGAAGACCATTCTTTCAAAAGAATATTTTTGACCTAAGAAATGAAATTAAGTGAAAATAAAATATCAACCTATTTCCAGTTTTGTATAGAGAGAAATTACATCCACACGTGTGAAAACTTACATATACACGCATCGCAGGCACAAACCAGGAGACAGTATTCCAAATATCATCGTTTCAGGATGAAGCTAATGAGTAATGTTTAGATTCTTTTTTTTTTTGTATTTTAAACTTATATATTTTATAGAATCAGCACATATTACTTTTATAATCAGGAAAAATGTTACTCAAGTTTGTATTAAGGACTAAGGCTAGACAACAAGACAAACTCCTTCCTTGAATTTTACCAAAGAATTTTATAGAGTTACTTCTGTATAACCTAAGAACATCTTTTTAAAAAAAATTCAGATCCTAAGAATCATTCTTACAAATGAGTTAATAGGCAATGAGCTCTTGGCTTTGGTACAAGGACTGAGTCCCAACTCCCCTCCTACCTTGCAAAATCCAGGTCAGCCTCTCGTGACATGGTGATGTTGGTCAAATTCTGCTGAAGAACAAAAATGTTCCTGCACATTTTCTTGATGCCAGACTCACTGATGCGCTTGAAGTACTGTGCACCATTAATGAGGATGCAGGAGATCAGGTGTCCCAGTCCTGAGGGGCCAGCAGGGGAAAAGAGAGGAAAAGAGAGAAGCTGGGTTAGCACCACCCTGCACACGTACTCAGGATTTCTGTCTCCTAATCCTCCATTGAAACAACCAATGGAAGCATCTCTCTGATGGCCACAGCAGCTGGTCTTACAATAATTTCAGTGTATTTATGCCTGGTCCATGCAGTTGCCAATGGGCAGATGTTTAGCTGGCAACAAAACTAGGTACATCCATAGCTCCAGCTAGTGCCAAGTACACCTGCAGCTACTCAGTCAGGGTTTAGTGATTATGCCAGGTTGTCATAAACTATTAAAGTACATAAGCACTCTTGTTTTTCTGTACAGATACTTCTGGGGTAGACACGAACACATGTAAATACAATGATTTGTTTGGTCTCCTTTTCCACAGAACAGCAAGTTCACTTAACTGTACTATAAATAGTTAGTTTGTATGAGATGGTTAAAAAGGCCAAAGATTAAAGGCAGCCTTTTTGTTTATTTGAAATTGCTATTTATTTACTTATTTGATGTACGTGCAAAACATGTTGTCCAACAATAAACAGGATTTTATTTTGTGGAATTGTTCTCACACTCTCTCTCACACACACATACACACACGCACACACACACACAGATGTAAGGTTTCTAACACACTGCAACACTGACAATAGAGTGCATGGTAAGGTAGCGATTGGAAGGACAGTAGTCAGAAGCTACCCGGGAAGGCAAGCAGACCATGTGTAAACTGTGGAATTCCTACAAAATATCTATGGACATTTCTGGGGTCTCAAAGGATCAACAGAGAGGTCTGCTCAGGATCTCCCATGTAATGAAGCTGAGCTAGGTGGGTTCTGCACCATCTGAGGAGCATGTAGGTTATTGTTTGTAAAAGTTAGCATTTCATTCTAAATATCTGGAATCGAGTTAACTTCTCTTCCTTCTCTATCCTCTCATTCTACAACATCTCCTCCAGAACACCGAAGCTATTCTAACTAGGTACAAGCCGGACTCTACTTTCATGATTTTTTTCCTCTAAAGTCATGGTCCCTTCCTGTTGACTATGCTTAGGGCACCCCTTCCAAATCAATGGCTCCCTCAGAGTTTTCCTTTAATTAAGAGGAGGACAGAAAAGGAGAGGAAGACATGTTCTCTCTTGCTTCAGCTACACTCACTCAACGTTGCTTCAAGACCAGAACTCACGTCTATGTGCTACTACATGTGATTTTACACTTAAAGCTAGACAGTCTATTCCCATGAAAAGTCTATGTCTAAATCTCTGGAGGTCAAGTGGTTTTTTTTAAAAGATTATTTATTTATTTTTTCTTTATTTACACAAGCACTGTGTACAGTCAGAAGCGCGGGAGGGTGAGAGAATTCACCAGAGCCAGAGCGGGGAGCAGAGCAGGCAGAAGGACTGAAGTACACTGCTGAGGGGAGCAGCGGGCGGCAGGAGAGGTCTGCGCGCCACGTGGGACCCTCCTCCGGTGGCCGGGGAGCAGCCGGGGATCGAACCAGCTCTCCAGAGGCCGCGGGCAGCTTCGCAACCCAGCGCTCAACCGCTGCGCCACCGGGGAGGCCCCCTGGAGGTCAAGTTTTGATGTGACTCTCCTGAGCCCATACAGCAGAGTTTTGTTCTTTTTTTTTTTTTCTTATTTTTACATCATTGTTCATTTTTAAACAATATTTGCCCCCCCCCACCCCGTCAGGAGAGTTTTGTTCTTCTATGGTAAAATGCAATTTGCTCAGGAGCAGGCACTGAAGGGGGTGGATACAGAGCACAGCAAATAATAGCACATATTTTAAATAAACACATGTGTAGAATATGTATAATAAATTACAGTAATGAAGCCAATTAAAAATCGTTCTCCTTAAGATGATCAACGCTAAGCATTGTCTGTGTTACTCCTTCCTGCCCCCACACAAGGAAGACTGAGCACACAGCCACTTCCCCGGCACTCACCTGGGGAACTCAACATTATGCCAGTTTGAATTTAGAAAATTATATCACAGAGGGGGGAAAAAAACTAACTTTTTATACAGGAAGTTTCAATTTTATAATTTGTTAGTTAAAATCTATTTTATGTCAGAGAAATGCACCTGCATTTCCAGAAAATGCTGGGGCTCAGCAGGATTAGCTAAGACATGTCTGGGCAAAATAATGAGGAAAATTCTGGGAACTGTGCATGTGGTTACATATGATTTGGAAGAGTCACAGTCAAGAGCGAGGAGGAAACTGCAAAGGAAGGGACATGTGGGCATTGCAGCTCCCCCCTGTGATTACTGCCCCCCATTCAAGAGCCACAGCTCTCACACCTTTTGGTTACAGTCTTGTAGAGGTATTTCTCTTCAGAGCACATCTCCATCTTTTTGACATAATTTAATGGGAAAATAGAATGGTGGGGGTGGGGGGGTTTCTCTAACCTTGCTGGAACATATTGCTTTATAATGCAAACAATGGCCTTGCAGTGATACTCTTTCCTATATTCAGATTGTCACCATCCTCTGGACAATGTCTCTACTCAATTGTCTAAATCATACTCGTTAAATTCCGTGACACACCATGGATACTTTCGGCACCCAGGGCTATAGACAAACGAGCCAAAACAGGAGCAAGGGCAATACACTTGGAGACCTCACAGGGGCCCTGTGGGAGGAATTCTGCATGAAAAGTTATGTGTCTGATGCGGGATTTTTCAAATGTTGAAGCCAAATGTCTTTTGATGATCTCATGATATTTATATACCCTTCCTTGCCTGAAGGCATCTGTGGATGTGGTCTTTCCAAAATCCTGCTAATCAGAGTTTTCTGTTCTTTTCAGACAGACAATAATGCATTCCCTGAGAGAGAACTTCCCCTTCCACTGTTCATTTTAGCCAATGAGGGATCTTTCAGAGTTCTGTCTTTCTGGTTCCTGTGTCTCCTTTTATGAGCTCCTCTTGAGTTAATTTGTGGCCTGCTCCACACATTTACCAACTCTCATGAGTGGTCTGTCAGGGAGGCAGCCGGGCTGCCATCTGCCTTATCTGGGATTAAATCTCCTTATCAACCAGGAGCAGATGGCAGCCATAATGTGGTCTACCTAGCCATACTCAGAGAGACCAGGTGTTGCAGCTTTAATTCAAAAAGGAAAAAAGAGAAACCCCAATAATCTTTCTCTACAAGTTTTGAACCTCAATAATACCAGAGAATCAGGAAAACCATCACCCATCCTTCCTCCCAGACTCCCAGAACAGGGACCGCCCAGGTCAGGCCATGTCTGACCTTCAAATATATACTGGAACTTGTGCTGCTGAAGACTGGCACTCATGGCCTCCTCGATGGCGCTGATGTCTTTGTTGAGCTTAACCACCAGAGGGTCATAATCCATGCTTTCCACATTAGCGACAATGGCATAGTTCCCCTCCTTTGCAAGAGGGATGAGATAATGGAAACAGTGAACCCTGAAAAAAAAAGGGAGAACAGTTATGAATACATCTTTCTGAGGAAAACACTAATCTTCTTGGGGCAGAGCACCCAAACAGCCGAAATGGGTAACACTGCAGATTTTTATGTGTCCCTCCCACCTTTCACCAGAAAGTCATCTTAATTATTTTGTGGAACAACAGAACGATCCCAGCAAGTCAGCTTCTGTGATTTTTGCTTTTTTAATCTCTATGTTGGGAGTGAGGAATAGCTGAGTTTTAAAATTCTTTTCAATGACCAGACTGTTTGGTTACTGTGAAAAGGATTATCTCTTTCTACAGATACTGTTATAGTTAAAATGAGATGCAGAAGCCATAGATCTTAAATATACAGGCTTTGGAATAAGACTACTTTAGTTTCCACTCCCATTTACCAGCTGTGTGGCTTTAGGCAAGTTACTTTCTGTCTATGCTTCAGTTTCTGGGTCTGTGAAATAGGGATGATGACAGCATCTAACTTGTAGGGTGCTCTGAGGAGCTACAACATAGAAAGAGCATAGTACAGGGCCTGGCACTGTTACTAGGCTTGTTATTGTTAATCTCTTATTTAAGTAGAACACTTAGTGAACAACTATGCATTTGCTGGCAATTGTGCTATGCCCAAAGAATGTAGAGCATAGTTTGTGCCCTTAAAGACTCCACCGAAAAGACCAAAATGACCAACAGGGGGCAGTGTCTCACTCAGAAGCGCGTGTGTCCTGGGTGCCAGGGAACTTAGCCATGAGGTATCAGGAAAGGTTGAAGAGATGAGTCTTGAGTCACTTAGGACACATCTGAGTGAGTTTGTGAAAGGAGTATATTCCTATTTGAAATGGCCTGACTCAGTTTGCTTATACACAATTATTACTTTAGGTTTGTTTTTTTTTTTTTTTTTTTTTTTTTGTAGATACAGGGAACCCCAAACTGAGATGGTAAAGATTAGCTAATCTGGGCCTCCCTGGTGGCACAGGCGGTTGAGCGCCACACTGTGAAGTGAAGCTGTCCGCAGCCTCTGCAGCGTGGGTTCGATCCCGGCTGGCGAGAATCCCACATGGCGCAGCAGACCTCTCCTGTCGCGCCCGCTGCTCCCCTCAGCAGTGTGTTTCGGTCCCTCTGCCTGTTCTGCCCCTCTCTCTGTCTCTGGTGAATACTGTTACCTCCCGCGCATCTGGCCTGTACCCCAACTGTTGTATAAATAAAATAAATCTTTAAAAAAATTAGCTAATCTATATCCTTTGTATTAAACTGTAAAGAAAGCAAGTTTTAGTTCAAACTAAATAAATACGATTTTGGTTTTTGTTTTCCTTCTGAATTCTGGCATGTTGTTGTTAACCTTAATACAACTTTGGCATTAAGGTTTTCTGCAAACACTGCTGATCACACAGCAGGAGAGCTGATTTTCAGAAACTGCACACTCAGGATCCCAACAGTGACAGGCAGCTGCCCTCCTGATGATGAGAGGAATCAGCTGACAAAGGTGACGTTCTTGTCATCTTAGACTCAAATGGCAACTTAATTTTCTTCTTCCAAAGTTCAAATAGGAAAAAAACACCCAACAATTCTTAATGGTCTCACTGTGTCTTTCAACTCTAGGGAGTGTCATTTGCCTCATGCTTCCATCTACAGAAAGGGGCTGCTTGGGGGTTAAATGTGACCTACGGTGACACAGGTAAAATGTCAAATGCTTTTTGGATTGAGCCTTTCAGCATGGAACCTACTGGATTTGAGAAGCCTTTTGGGTTTGGACATTAACAACATTAAAGAAAATATGAGCTAGGAATATAAAAATATCTTGGGGATATAAGACGAATTTTTTGGCACTCGAAGTTGCCTTTGACTGACTTCTTGCTATTTGTCATTAGTGACTTTGTTGTTCTACCTGTGCTCTCTTATCACGGGGGCTTTCTGGGTCACAGGCCCCAAGACAGTGCCTAAGCAGCCATTTCTCCACTGCACCAGTTCCTGGATGGCAGGGGCTAAGCTAGAATTCTCTTTTATGGCAGGTTGGGAAAAAAACAAACATTAGCTGGTAATGATGACCAGGATGACGCTGGCCAGACTCTGTCCCCCCAGGATACATGCAGTGGACCACTGAGTAAACCAAAACGAAAATGCATACATTGTGCAAAAATGAAAAATGATGTAAGAATTATATAAAATAAAATATATTTAAAAAAAAGAATCTCAAACCAGTTCATGTTCTTTAAAGAACTTAAGATTTTGTTGGGTGAAAAACAGTCCTTATTTTATCTGAGTTTGACTTCAAATGAGCCAGGACTCAAGAATCATGGGCAGCTGGTAGGCAGCAGGACTAGTGCAGGTTTGGAGGCATAAAAATGAACAAAGCTCACTGAGAACTTCCAGAAGTTCTCCACAATCCCCCACTGTGGGCACCCAAACAGTCTCCACTATCCTAACTTTATTACACTGCAATATAATGACGTGCTTGATATTTGTCTTATTCATCTTGTCCCATCAACTATACAAATAAAATCCCTTGCTAATGTAATAGTGAGAGAACAGTGTGTCTCGATGGGCACTAACTGAGCCCCGTGTGACGGGCTATGCTGGCCTGTGTAAACCGTACTTTAAAAGGAATAAATAAATACACTATGCAGCAGACTCATAAGAAAGCAACCGGAATGCTGAAACCATGTTATATGAAGTGAGGAAATTTAATTTAGAAAACATAAGCATGCTTAGTGTTCTCAGGAAAAGACAAGGAAGTATAATTCAGTCATTTTTGTGACTCCATCTCTTTTTTTACTTACTAGGTCACTCATTTATTACAAAGGATATTAAAGGATATGAATCAACAGCAGATGGGAGAGGTGCTTAGGGGAAGGTGTGAGGGGAAGGTGTGGAGCCACCGTGCCCACTTCAGGGGTGTCCTTTTCCCTCAAATCTTCATATGCATCAACCCTGGAAGCTCCTGCTACTCCATCTTACCGCAAACTTCCTCTGTTTTGAAGCTCATGTTGAAGGAGATATAGCAGTGGGTGTTACAGTACAAATGGTTTCTTAGAAAGGCAATAAATGACTGAAACATGCTCAGCATTATTAAGAACAGTGTCACCAAGATGTAAGAATCTAAAATGTGCAGATCAGGGGTTAAGGATCTCAGAGATCGTCCTCCAACGTGTGGAACACATTCTACCTGGAATTAGCTGCACTCCTGGCAGGTAATTCTGGATGTAGAACACATCGTGCACCCACACAATCAATTGCATGAGTTCCAGGAGTGGTGGTAGTAATTAATTTGATGTTCCCTTGTTTTTCTGTGCAGCCCAGGTAACAGGTTTCAGAATGTTACCGAGTGGGTTGTTTTTTGTCTTTTTTTTCTGTCCATTGCCAATTGTCTATTCATAGAAAACACCTGATTTATTTCACTGCCGATTTGTAAATAAATAGAAAACAAATCTAAAAATTATCCTGAAACCAATCAGGGAACATAGAGCAAGAGTCTTTATTTCTGGGAGCTGAATGTAAGAAATAAGATCAGAAATAACGCTGCGTACACAGATTCCAAATCTGCAATGTGACTTCTCTTCCTCCACTTGTGGTGCTCCAGGCAATACAGAAGGAACTGCCTGGGCAAGGTGAAGAATGAGGACAGCGAGTGGCACACAAAAGGAGTGACAACAATCCACTGTTATCCAGGCTTTGCCCAGGCACACCTGAGAGAGATGCAAGCTCACCGTGGAGTGCACACATAGGAAACAAAATTCTGTTTACATTTTTGAAAGTTAAACCCAGTTAACAGTACAACTGAATAGAACATGCTCATTCAGATTTCATAAAGTCCCTTAGTAACGCAGAAGAAAAAATATGTGTACTCTTTGCTTTCTGAGCCCGAGGTTTCCAAAGTGTACACCTGCCTGTCTATTTGATGCTGCTTCCCAGATGCCCCACGGTCATCTCATATGGAACAGCTCCAACATGGAACTGATGTCCAACCCTTGCCAAGCTTTCTGCTCCCTTGCTCTTTCTCACCTTGGTTAACAGTACCAGCACCAACATCGCTGTCCTGGCCCAAGCCAGAGGTTTTCCTTGGGTCCTTTCTTTCTCTCACTGCTACCAGGCCCTGGGCCCAATCCATCAAGTACTGCCTTCAGACTAGGCGTTAAATCCAACATCCTCCCTCTTTGACCTGTCACTCTGGTGCTCATAACTGACGGTCCCAATGGTTCATTCTGCTTCATATTTCTCCCTGCATATCCCTTTTCCATATAATAGCCAGAGCCATCTTTTGTGAATGAATGAAGAAATGAATGATGGTCTCTCCAAAAACCCTCCTATGGCTTCTCAGCACACTCAGAACAAAAATCTGAACTATTCAGAGTCTATAGACTCTCTCCTGTGTCAGGATCCTGATCCTGATTGGCCCTCTCCTTTTCCCATCCCTCCGTCTAGCTCCACCCTACTCCTCCCTCACGGGGCTGGAATCACACAGGATGCCTCTGTTTCTCAGAACTGCTGAAGTGGACATGGTCTCAGGACTTTATGGGTACGGCCCCCCTTGTCTGAGGTTTCTTTCCTCACTCTCTGCACCATCTACACTGCCAGCACCAGCAAACATGTGCTAGTGACTGCTTGACATGTGACTAGTCCAAATTCTGTAGTGCTAGGAAAGTATGCAGTAGATATCAAGGCTTTGCATAAAAAAATCCAACATTTATCATTTATCATTTCTTGTTCAGTACATGTTGAGATAATATTTGGGATATACCGAGTTAGACAGAATGTGTTATTATAATTTAAGTATTTCTCTACTTTTTCAACAGAGACGAGAGAATTTAAATGATTTACATCATCTGCATTTGCAGCTTACCTTCTATTCCTATTAGACAGCACTGCTTGATTTCATTAGTTGATTTTATCTTCTGAGTTGCTCCTATTGGAAATGATCTTTTTTGTCTACTCAACAGCTGCTTCCCCCCATTAGGATGTAGTTCCATGAGTACAAGGACCTAGGGGCCTTTTCATCCCTCTATCCCAATTCTTAGAACACAGGCCCAAAGCAGACACTCAGTAAACATGAAGGAATGAGCAACTGAAGGCTTCTAGTCTTTTCCTTCTACCATTTCCATTGGTGTGACAGCAGAGACTACCAGAGCTAATCTGAATTTTCTACACTGCAGGGGAAGGAAGAGCCCAAGAACATGACATCTTTGAAATTATTTCCTTGAATTAGTATTTAACTTAATCTTGTCAACTGGGTTTTAAGTTCTCGAAAGAAAGGATCACATGGCCCTTCTTGGTTAGTACTTTAGTGAAAATATCACCAACAGTAAAATCACCATAATCCCAAAGCTACCATTTTGAACACTTTATATGTGGCAGGCATTGCACTGATCATTCATTACTTCATTTATAAAATCTGTTAGGAATTAGTTTCATTTTTCAAATGAGAAAACTAAGTGTTAGAAAAGTCAATTATCTGACTTCAGATTAGCTAGCCAGCTTGTGCAGACATTCAGATCAAGTCATTCTGATGGGGTAGGCCATGCAAACTCTGGGTCCTCATATTCACAATACAGGAGGTGATTGAAAACCTTCATAGTGATGAAAGCTAAAAATCATTTTTCGTGTACAAAAGGGGCAACATCAATAATCAGAACTAAAAGTTACATTAGGACTCCCCAGAAATAAGCCAATGATTTAGGCAGCACAGTGCACTGAAACCAGAAAGTCTTGGGCTGGGCTGTGTCCTACCTGACTTCCAGATGTAGGACCAGCAAGCAGCAGTCAGCCATTTCCTGGAAAGATCTGGCAAGTTCGCTCAGAGTCTGCATGATCTGCTCTGACACCTGGGGGAGATCCACGCTCGTGTGGCTATCTTGAGCAGGAGACAGCACTGAAAGAGGGGTGAGCACATAACACCAATCATTTCATCGGACACTTACAGATTTTTTGGAAATAACATTATTTGGTTGCTCTTTGTGTTGTTTTTACCAATTTGGCTAATTCTAGTGTTGGCAGCATTAGATATCCAGGATATGACAGACCATTTAAACACTTGGTTACACATAGAAGCTGAGCTGATTGTCTTCAGTTCATTCATAGGATGATTGGCACAGAATCTCTGAGCTGGAAGTGAGTATCATAGTTGTCTGGCCTCACCTCTTTGTCTACGTTTGTGTCCTTCCCGCATCTTCAAGTGGCTGTGCAGCTTCTGGTTACATATCCACACAAATGTTTGTGAAAACTCAACACTTTTTAATGCAGCCTATCTTGTTTCTGAGAGATCTGACTATCTCACAACAAGACGTATGTTTTCACTAACTTTCATTCACTGACTCTGGTTCTACTAACTTGGCAAACATTCTCATATGTGTCCACATTTCAAATACTGAAGATATCTCTTTGGACTTCCACAAAGTCTTCCTTTTTTCAACATAATGTCCCCCATTTTCCAACTATTAAATATTTGGATTAATTTTCTAATCACCAACAAAAGCATTTCAGCTGTTCTATATCTCCTCTGAAATGTGGGATGGAGGATCAAACATCATATATACTCCATAGTGGTTTGACCTGTCAGGAGAGAAAGTTCAACTCTCTTGTTCTAGATGCCACATTTCTTGCATGTAGGCCTAAAAGTCTTCGGCTGGGGAATAGTGGTGAGCTGCTTTCTACTTTAACTCATTGAGAGAATACGGTCAACTAAAAGTCTGAAAAGGTGTTATTGGAAACTTTGAAAAAGTTACCTTCTATATCTCTCCCCAATGATTGATAAAATAGTTAATAGCACTTGAACATTTTCTTCAGGAAAATACAAAACAGCAAAAATGTGAATGAGAATCATTTATATCTAGACTTTGGTTGTATTTCCAGTTCTCCACAGTTTTTCAAAGATCACAAAGAATTTTCCAATTCTCCTTCAAAGTTCTCGTACCTATAATCTCAAGGACTGGCTTTGAGTTCTGTCTCCACTACTTACTTTTTATGTAATTAAGAGCTAATTACTCAAATTTGTCTGCCTCAGTTCTTCATCTGCAAATATACAATAGTACCTAGATCATGGGTTTGTTGGGAGCACTGAATGGATTAATATAGGTTAAAATGTATGGAACAACAGTACATAAGGCCCACTCATTAATATAAAGAATAATTGTAAGTCATTATTCTTCTTCATCATGTGATTTGTCCAAGTTAAGGGTCTTAGGCTTAATAATAGCAACCAGATACTTAAAAAATAATTCCATCCATCTTGAAGTTCAATATCCATTTATCAGTATTTTTGCTTTCCACCTGAAAATTCTCCTTATCAGAGGGTTCAGTTTTTGCACTGCCTGGGCTCCCTGGACTAAGGGCATGTGGGGTTTGGGGGGGCACCACTGGCTAACTCAGGAGGTGCCCACCTTACAGGGTAGGGTGCAGCAGTGTCAACCACTTTCTGTGCTGCCTGCTGTCCTAGACTTTGCCACGTCTAGGAAGAGAAAGTTCAGACTCACAAGGTCAAGCTCTTCTCTATGGAATCAGACTTTAACACATTAAAAGATCAGACACACACATTTTTGTTCAAGGGAACTGGTGTGTAAGGTGGAAGGGAATGTAGCCACATAGATTTAAAGCTATTTCCAGCCTTGGCATCATCCCAGATGGTCACGAACTCCATCTCCAGGAGACAGGATGGTAACATGCATGCCCTCTCTAGTGTAACAGTGTTCTCCTATCGTTTGGTCTCAAGGTGAGATCACTGCTTTGTTTTCAAATGTCTTCATTTGGCAACGTGGACAACTGAAACTGTAAGTAACACTGTTCTAATATTTCCAATCAATTTTGGACTTCTGAATCCCTGGATTCCCCTGTTGTGTGAGACTCACTGGCATGGAGAGCTATTTATTTATTTATCAAGGAAAAGGGCAGAAATCAGAACTGAAGAAATGGGACCCTGAACTGAGGTCTACAGCGCATCTCTCCAAATTTATTAAAGATATTCTGGACAAATTCCACCAAGAAAAAAAAAATACCCTTTCTTACTATAAAGAAACATAATCTCTATGAATATCAGTTGACCATTGTCAAACTGTGTAAATGAAAAAAAAATTCCAAAAGACTAAGTTAACAGCAAGATAAACAGTCCAGGTAAAAATTGCAATGAGGGAAGCAAAAGAAGCTTGGGGGAGCAGCAAGCTGCACATTTTGCTGGACTGTAATCTACAGCAAACACGTAACATTTTAGTAAAGCAACATGAAAATTATGCCCAGAACACTACTGAAAAGCTGGCTTATGAATTCCTGAGGGCTCACTGAAATTGACAAAAAATTTTTTTAAGAAGGAGCATGCTGAGCGAGAAATGCTGAGTGTGGCAAAGACAACACAAAATAATTAACTAATTCTTAACTGTCAAATAGAAACCTACCAAGAAAGCAATGCTGTCAGAGTCTGCTTGGAGATTAGAGTCAAGAAAAGAAGTTACTGGACACACATGTGCACATACTCTTCTAGAGGACACTTGATTACACATCTATCTCAGGGACAGCTCTTCACATCAGCAGAGCCTCGTTATGTCGGATTTAAATATTAGCAAAGGTCTCCCTGGTGGCCTACAGGTTAAGTCTCAGCACTATCACCACTATGGCCTGAGTTCGTTTCCTGGCCAGGGAGCACTGCCCCTACACTGCTGCTCCCCTTAGCCGTATATTTCAGTAAAATCTGCCTCTTCTGCTCCCCACTCTGTCACTGGTGAATTCTCTCAACCCCCACACCTCTGGACTACATCCAGTTCTTTTACACCCTCCCCCATAAATTAGCACTTCATCATTTTATTAAAATAAGACTGTTGAGCTGTTTTTCTAATATACTGAGGACAGGTCACATCAGATTATTTATAACATTCATGTTCTCTTATAATCACTGCATGCAAGCAAGCGACTTTTGAGACACCTAACTACTTGTGGTAAAGTAACTGTGGCTTTCTGTATTAAATGAATTGGTCTATATGAGGAAGCTGAACCTTGGTCTCCAGGGTAGACGCTACAATTAGGTGAATCTACAGATATTTCTACTTCTTGCTCTACTTTACGCTAGACTCTGGAAAGGGAAACACTTGGGGGCTCAGTCTCATTTATACATCAAGGTGACCGGTATCTTGTCACCTGGTCAATGACCCCCTAAATAGAGTCTTATATGGCAACTTGATAAAACCGTGAGTTCATCCCAGGATTTTTGAGCCCCTACTTTGAACCCATCTTTTGACAGGAAAACGAAAGCACAGATTTTTGGCACTAAAATTTCCTGAATTTTAATCTCAAAATAGCCTTGAACTGCAAACCACAGTTACACTTCCACCTTTGTCCACCCCTTACTAGGGCTTGGCTTTTGCCTTTCCCTTTCTCTGCAACTTTTCCCAAATTCTCTCTCAAGTGCCTCAGATTCATAGTAAAACTTCCAAAGAATTCTCGGTATTTGCTATAGTCTGGCTTTTATTAACACTTCCATGTACCATCTGATGTCTGCCTTTACCTCTTTATTAATTATTTTGATACTCACCATCAGTGATAGGCTAATGGCCAAATCCAATGGGCACTTTTCAGCCCAAATTTCAGAGAGGTCCTCTGCTACAATCAAAATGACTGGCCATTTCCTCCTAGAAATTATCTTCTTTTGGCTTACTAGGCACCATATTCCTCTGGATGTCCTTTAACTTTCTGATATTTTTACTTTCCATCACTGGGTCCTCTTCCTTTAGTCCACCTATAATATATGTGCTGGTATTCCCATGGATTTTCCTCTATAGCTCTCTTACGGGTTCTCCTCTATGTTGTCCGAGTGAATACATCCATTTTCATGGTATTGGCTATTATCTAGGAACTGATGACTCCCAAACTCCATCTGACCAACTACTTGCAAGCTCTCATTCCTTGTACTCCCCATAGGCATCTCAAATGCAGTGTGCTCAAAACTAAACTCATTATCTATCTTTGGTATCTGCTCATTATCCTGAAATCTCTTTCCATCAGTGGTCTATTAATGCAGGATTCTCAGCTGCAAACACGAGAGTAATCTTTGAATCTCTTTGCTTCAACACTCTCCTCAGTAAACACTAATTTCTTTTTTTTTTTTTAGATTGATTTATTTATTTATACAAGTACCGGGGGATAGGCCAGATGCACGGAGAGTGAGAGGACTCACCAGAGACAGAGCAGGGAACAGAACAGGCAGACTGATGAAACACACTGCTGAGGGGAGCAGCGGGGGAGACAGGAGAAGTCTGCTGCGCCATGTGAGATTCTCGCCGGCTGGCCGGGATCGAACCAGTGCTGCAGAGGCCGTGGACAGCTTCACAGCGTGGTGCTCAACTGCCTGCGCCACCAGGCGAGGCCCGCAAACACTAATTTCTACCAATTTTATTTCCTAAATGTTTTCTTTCAATATATCTTCTATATCTACTGTCACTTGGCTTAAGCTTCATCTCTTCCACGGATAAATGTTGTTGTCACTGACTAATGTCATTGCCTGGCTCCTATTTTAATTTGATCCTCCATATTTAACTAATTAAATATAAATTAGGTAAACAGTTATTTGCTTAAAACATAAATTCGACTGTGTTCATTTCTTGTAAGAGTAACACCACTGTTTCCCATTGCTCGCACTATCCCAAGTTCCTTAGGAAGGCTTTTCGTGATTCCGTGTTTCTGCCCAACACTCAGTCTTGGTCATCTTGCACCATTTTTGCTTTCCTTCTCAAAGTATCCTCTCCTCAACCCTGTTCTTAAGCCCCACCCTTTTAAAGCAAATTTCCTAAACACATCATGCTGTTTCATGGCTATGCCATGCCAATGACTCTTAATCCTTCATCAAAATGATTCATGCTTTCTCTGCTTCAGAAACACTTGCCTGATTCTCCA